ACGCCTTCACATCTTCACGTGTATTCTCCAAATTCATATATATATATATATATATGTATATAATACTTGGTTTGCAACGCCTACACATCTTCACATGCTTGTTTTCTCCAAATTCATGCCCTCTCATCCTAATCCAAATCACGCATCTACTCAGAATGAACATTTGTTATTGAATTTTTAGACGATTTAGAGTATATGTTTGAGTAATCTTGCAAACACTTCATCATACTAATTCATTGTGATAGATTAATTAATTTTCAATTCAAAAAATTTCATTGACGCACCTTGACCATACATTTAAAAAAAATTAAATTATTATAAGGGTTGGTCACAAGCATTAATCTTATCATAGCACAAATAAACCACCAAATTATAAATGATGCAAATAATTTCTAATAGGTCTTGCTTGTCAATTTTAAAGGTAGAAAGCTTATTTAATACTTATGGATAAGACAGTTTATAAGTAACTATAAAATTAGTCAAGCTAAGAACTTTGATACTTATATATGTTATACAAAGAAAGACACCAAATTAAATCATACTCTTTTCATTTAATTTTGGTATTTTTAATTCAATTTTTTGACTTTTTAAATATAAATTTTAGTTAACAATTTAATAACTTATATAAATAATTAATTTTTGTCTATATATAATTCTTGTTAAGTATTTTTATTTAATAAAAAAATCAATTATTTTTTATATAATATATTAAATTTTTATGTAAAATTTATATCTAAAAAGTCAAATTAAAATTAATAAAATCGAATGAAGGTAGTAAATTAGAAAAACAAAAAGTTAAACTAACCTATAAGGAGACTTAAATCTCAAACTTTAAAATAATATTAATTAAGAACATTTACTTTACGGTGTGTTCATTGAGAGACAATTATGATACCTTATCTATGGACTTATGACATTAAATTTTGAAAATTTTATATGATAAATTAAAATTTTAAAAGATTTATGTGTAAGAAAAGGTTGAAAAACATAATTAATCATCTGTTTAAATTTCATCTTATCCGAAACAAGTGTAATAAAAAATTGATTAAAAATATTAAATAAGGATAAAATAGAAATATAATATTTTTTTTATACATCTAATTATAACTATATAAGAGAAAATAACCCTCCCTTGTTCCCAAATCTTTCCTCACCCGATTGAAAGTTCGAATTTGAAATCTTCAGTTTAGAGTTTCAAGTTCTTGACTGTTGAGCTACCCATTGGGGTTATAGTATTTAATATATTTACAAAAATAAAAAATATGATAATATTGTGAAGTAAAGGTGGCAATTACATCTTTTATTATAAACGGACAAAAATGATTTCTTTGATTATTACTTCTCCAATTTAAATGTTACTTCTCTAATAAATAGCAATAATTTACTCACATTAAAATGTGATTTACTCCCATTAAAATGTGATTTACTCCCTTGTTTCTCCTCCATATCTCTAACGAAAATTTACAGCATTGAAATGCGCTTTGCCCCTCCACATTTCTAACGGAAATTTACTTATGGACAATTAATTTTAAATTTATAAATCACAATTTTTTTATGTGTAAATAGAATCATTTTGGTTAAAGTATCCTTTTAACCTCTCACCTTAATAAATCTAATGTTTTTAATCTTTCACCATAAAGTTTTTAACCCCTAAAATTAAAAGTTTGAAAATTTTAACTTATAAACTAAGGAATTCATTAACTCTTCATTAAAGTGAAAATAAAATATTTATAGAATCAGTACTCAAAAATTAAAAAGATAACAATTTAGATTTAAACGTTTAAAAATTAAAAAAGTTAGTAAATTAAAAATATATATAGAATCAGCACTCAAAAATTAAAAAGATAACAATTTAGATTTAAAAGTTTAAAAAATACAAAAAATAGTAAATTAAAAATAATTAATGGATGCTTTTGTCACATACACGAGAGTAGTATTATATATCTACAATCAAATAGAGTGATTAGCTCAATCTAAAAAAGAAAATCTGACTGAGATTAAAAAAAATTTTGACTGTATTTTTTTAGTTTTTTGAATTTTTT